ACATCTGGGCATACATGCACTGTCTGCTTCGGAGTTGTTTCAATCAACGTTACGTTTTAACACTTCAGCGCTCATCCCTAAATATGCAAGTGAAGCTGCATTTATGGCCGGTGTCATCTCTGAGACGTGTTTGCATTTTCCTAAATGATGTTTCTTTGTTAAATGGCCTTTAAATATATAAAATAAATATCCCCTTTATAAAAACTTTGTTTTACTATGGTTGCAAATATCAAAAAATTTCTATATGTGACACGGCACCAGAGTTAAGTTAGGGTTTTTCAAAACGCTGACACGCCGAGCTCAAAAGGTTCGCCATCACTGATCTATACTAATAAAAGGGTAATATGCTAATTAGACCAGGAGACCTTCCAGACGTTCTTCCAGATAAAGCCATGGTGGTGGGGCCAAGGCAGAAGTGGTTAGGGATGATCAGGCCAGGAGGGGAGGGCAGTTGGGGGTGATCAGGTCAGCGGGAGCCAGGGGAGGGTGGTAAGTTGGGGGTGAGCAGGCTGGTGAGGGGCAGCAGTTGGGGGCGAGCAGGCGGCAGGCAGAGTGGTTAGGGGCGATCAGGCAGGCAAGCAGGTGAGCAGTTAGGAGCCAGCGTCTCAGATTGTGAGAGGTATGTCCGACTGTCGGTTTAGGCCCGATCCCTGCAATCGGGCCTAAACCGGCAGTCAGACATCCCCTGAGGGTTCCCAGATTGGAAAGGGTGCAGGCCGGGCTGAGGCGCACCAGCACGCACGCATGCCCGTGCACACACACACACACACACACACACACACACGTGCACAAATTTTGTGCACCGGGCCACTAGTCTACACTAATAAAAGAGAAACATGCAAATTGGTGTCACTCTGCTACATCCACCAGCCAATCAGAGTGGCTATGCAAATTAACCCAACAAAGATGGCGGATAATTTGCATATGCAGACACTGAGCGAAGACTGAAGACTGAAGAGGCTTGGCTTCTCCGCTGCGGCCTCAGCGGAAAAGCCAAGCCTTGCCACGACCGGACCAAAGGCCTGGGTCCCAGGTGCCAGAGGAAAACCGGTGTCAGCAGCCAGGGGAAGGATGGCCTATTGCACGAATCTTTGTGCAACGGGCTTCTAGTATATATATAAAAGGCTAATATGCTAAGTGTCTGACTGTCTGACCGGTAGCTATAATGCGCACTGACCACCAGGTGGCAGACTCTCAACGCAGGAGCTGCACAGCTGCAGCGACTTGGCAGAGGCAGTTCTCATGAGGCCACACGATTCCACCTTCGGCCGTGGGTTATGTTGTTGCTGGGGCACTTTTGGCCCCGAATCTGGTTTACCACACACTTGTGTTTGCATTCCACACCCTGTACGAAAGCAACTTTGCAGGGTGCCCTCTTGCACTCTGGGACCCCTCGGGGGATGTCGGAGAGCCGGTTGTGGCCCAATCCCTGCAGGCCAGGACCAGGGACCCCGCCTACCAGAGGGACCCTGCTCACTCTGCAGACACCCTTCGAGTCATGGTGCCACCTCAGGTGTGGGCAGCCAGGGAGGGATCGCAGGAGGTTGGCTCTAGGGTGTGTCCAGCCCATCTCACCCAGTCCCACCCCACCAGCCACCTTCTAATTAATATTCTTTCAATGTGCACAAATCCATGCACCGGGTCACTAGTTTTTAATAAGAAATGATTAATTAAATATACTTTCAATTTCTTGTTAATGAATTGCACTGTCTCTGGGTGGTCTGCACAGTGGGGGCTTCGTGTACCTTGAAAGCCTTG